TCTAGATGTATCAGCAATGCTAAGCTTGCTTTTTTTTGTTTTTTCATGCAGCTCTCCTTGAAATTTTTACAGACGTTCACATTTGGGAAAGTCAGAAATGTGTGGCAGGAAATCTTCCCTTCCAGTTGTTTTACAGGTGTTTGTTAAATAGCGCAGTACATAGTCCTGCCATCCGGCCAAAATACCTTGCCCCTTTGGTTATTAGAGTTTAAGTTTGTAATTTGGATTTCACCAGTCCTAGTAGGCATCTAATACATGTTTAGAAATATTCCATGAATAGAGGCAGATGGGGAAAAACCTTATTCCTGTAAAAAGAAATAGTTCTATAAGAAGTACTAGATCCACAGATAGATAGAAACATAAAATCAATTTCATAGCATAGGAAAAAAGTGATCTAATGATTTAGAGCATTTGCATTTAGGTATCTTTTCATTCTGTACATGTGGCATTTAAACAAGCACATACCAATTTTTCCTCTCACAACTGTTTCCACTGAGAAGGTATCTAGCTTATAAATAGCACATCTGTGTAGTAATTGGGACTAAATGCACCTTAGCTCTGGACACCAGAGCATATGCTGTGTAAATTCATGAAGGGAATTAAAAAAAAAAAGTAGTAGTATTCAACTTTGCATTTTTTTTCCCAAAGGAAAATTTTGTTTCGAAGGGTGCAAAGCAGCAGATTGCTTAGAGCAGACAAGCAGAACAAAATGTTACAACTTTCAAGGCTGTCTAAACTAATCCTAGAAAAACTACTATTGAGGCCTTTGGGTTTTTAGTTTTTTTGTTTTGATCAGCTAAACATTTAGTTTGATGTTTTCAGGATTTTTTACTAAGCAATATTGAGTGACTACACTCTTTGCAAAAAACTTCATCACATTAGTTTTTTAATTCTTGAACACTTGGAAAACAGTCAGCTTTTGAATAAAAATGCTTCATTTAAACCAATCCCTCACTGAGAACATAAGGAGTCACAGAAACGTATTCAATTCACTATGTCAAACACTCAATCAATGCCAGATTTTACTGTTACCTTCCCAAACAGTAATTGAGCTCTACTGTGAGTGTGCATTGCCTTTATTTATGTGATCAAAAAGGACTTTTTCCACAGGGACCCCTTCTCCTTTTAGTGCACTGCTTAGCCTGGAGCATTACCCAACCTGAGATGACTTATCAAGACCTGTTGACAATTTTTTGATCACTCTGTTTAAAGAGTTTAAAAGATGTTTAAAACATAGTCAGCTGAACTACTCCCCAAGTTACCCCACTCCCAAATCCAGCACTAATGGCAACACCCTATGAACACTCCTTGTATGTGTGTCTGTCTACCGGAAGGCAGCAGCACTATAGTGCAGTAGAACACAGTAAAACACTGTTATGTATGTGCTTCATTTTCAAAGCACTGCTTTGAGAGATTATAACACCTTAAAGAGTCCTACCTGGCTCTATGTCAGACTGTCTGCTACTCTTTAATTACCCTTTCTGAAATATTTGAGATGATGATACTTCAAACAGAGAAAAAGGAAAACAAACAAAAAAACTGTTTGCTTTCATTTTTCTAAGTCTTCACACCGGTGGGAAACCTAATGAGGAAGCATTCAGCTTCCAGGTCGTGTAACCCAGACCTGCCAGTTGTAAGTGACAACACTGCATTTCTCTTTACCCGGCACAAGTGTGGCTACAGCTACTCACAGCCATGCCTGTGCAGTCCATCACCTGCTGAAGCCTTGAACATGTGATTTTTTTTTCATGCAGTATGAAAGGTGTGCTCCCTTTATGGCTGCTCTTCTGCAAACCAGGAGGTCTAGCGTTAGGACTGCTCATGTAGGATCAGTAGTGCTGACCAAAACCATCCACCTTGACTGTTCAAATGTGTTCAAAACATGCTGACAGGTTAATTTTTACTTCTGGGCATTATTGTTGGTCTTCTCACAGCCGGCATGGATTCCTTATATATGTGTGCTGCCTGCACGCTGACAGGCGTGTGAGTGTGTGCTCACACCTGATTTGGATCGGCTGTGCTCTGCTGGGTGACGGGGCTGTGTACAGACTCAACGCTGCTGGTCACAGCCTGCCGCTGCGCAGTACAGTGCGACGGGGCATAGCTGGGGTGGTGAACAGAGAGATGCTTGTGCCAGAGGATTCCAGCCCCCAAAACAGCACCATGCTCCTTAAAGCCAGTGCTAGCTGATGGTAAATGCAAGGAGTGAGTGAGCTATGGTGAACTCCCAGCTGAGACACCTGTGGGAATCTCTGGACTAGGATGGGTGTAGGTCTGTGCCTCACTTGCTCGTTCCACTGAGAGCCTCAGTAGTTTAGCCCTGGACCTAACTAGTGTGGACGCACAGAATTCTCCCTAGTCTTGAATCACCCGGGTGGTGTGTCATTCAAGAATCAGGCATGTTTCTGCTCTACACCTACACACTGGAAGAAAGGAGGGCATTACTGTCCCTGAGCTTCCCACTGACATTTTTCACAGACACTGAATGAAAAAAGTTAGGAAGCAAGTTGCTGCCTGTTAGCCCTGCAACAGACACAATTTATCCTAAAGACAGACTGACACCTCCCCTGCCCAAATCTTTCTATCTTCTGCTGAGTGATGCTTCTACAAGGAAAGGTTGTTCCTACAGAAATGTTCTCTCCAGCTGGATTCTATTGAGGTATAATGTGCAATACAAAGGCACTCGTGAACGTGCTGTGAAACAGTCACTTTATTGCAAAACAAATATAAGGTAGAAAATTAACATTTCACATAGTTCAACTCTTGAAACAAATATATAAACCACGTTTCATTTGTAGAAGGGACAAACCATGTTTCATTTGTAGAAGGGACAACATGAGCTACAAACTGAGGGCAAGACTGGCCAACTGTTTGAGGGGTGCTCAGCTTGTAAAATGTGAGTGAAGAGTCCTTCAGTATTTATATTATCCTAAGTATTGTTTCAGTTCAAGGACCAGACAACATGAAACACTTCATTACTTTTACCTAGTATATAGTACACCTGTAGGGTTTTTTTGTTTACCTGAGGTTTCCATTCTTTAGGCTGTAAAGGTTAAGTATCTTGTAAACAATGAGGTTGGATTATGGGGTTGATGGATGACAGTATTCTGACCTTCCTCCCAAACAGGCTGTTAAAAACAACAGATAAGGGGCTAGGTTCTGATAGGCAGAGATCTCCTAGCTTCAAAGCTTTGGGAAATTAATCAACTTTTCAACTTAGAACTGTTTCAAAGCAACTTGAATATAGAGAAGCCACTCCATGGAGGCATCTTTTGCTTTGAGTTTTTCATACCATTTGCTTACGTACTTTGGATGTGTTCACTTCAAAATCGTAGAGGACTTACTCCTCATTATTGCATTTAACAATACTATGAAGGAGGAGGGAAATGCTTTCTTACACTCCAAGTGCTGTGTGAGTACAGGGTTCATTTCACCTATTTCCAATTCTCATCTTATTTGACCATCCCTGTGAATCTTCTACATAGTACATTCAAAATCTGACTCGTTCAGATGTCAACTAAGTGCTGGGAAAACTCCTACTGTCAAATAGCAAGGCTGCAGATGACGATAAAAAGTAAAAATGTTTCCACTAAAAGCAGCAGCCTCAATCTCCCTTATACTTTTGGAGCAAGGAGGCTTTGCATTTAGAAACACGTGGCATCAGTTCACTGTAATTTTCTAAAATGAAGTACAAAGGAAAAAATTAATTCCACCATTTAATTTAATTTTAACATTAAATTCTGTGTTTGGGCAAATAGGATCAGTTACTTTAATCAGCATTAAACTATAATTTCCAAAACCCTGAAAAGGTGGAGGGAAGGAAGTAATATTGAGGGACGCTTTCATGGATCTTTGTTTCAAAATACAAATATTACATGGCAAGCATGGCCACAATACAAATTGTGGCTCTGCCATTGCCTCACTAACTGAGTTCCAAAGTCCTAATCTCTCTCTGCCAGTGTCCTCATCTGCAAAACTCTAATAATATTTCCTTACTTCAGAGAAGTGCTGTAAAGATTATTTAGTAAAATGTTTGCTCAGGGTTCAGAAAAGACTAAGCATTAGGTATTGTAAATTATGTGCTAATTTCACTTAAGCTGCAGTAAAGCCTGCGTGAAGTGCTTTATAGGAAATCCTCACTGTGTGCTTCTGTAGTTACTTTTGGATAAGGTTATCTACATAAGAGCATTGTATAGTAAAAGAATCACTCATAGCTTAGCGTCTTCTTTTAAATGATTACTTGTTAGCTCTGCTAAAAATGACACTTATTATTAAGAAATCCAAGAGCATGTCAAGTAGTAGTCACTACACTTAGAAAAAATTTATAAGATCTGTAAGAATTATTTATTGCTACTTCTTGCTTTGCAAACTTTGGTTGAGAAAATTTGTACAGAACTCTCCTTGCAGTTAAGGACCAAGATAGAAACTGGCGACAGAAACAGATTGAGGAAATTATTCTTTCCTACAGCTCCAGATCAGCAAACACTGATCACGGGACAATGTCCCTCCTCATTACGACAGCATTTAAGCATGTGATTAATTTGCAGAATGTGTTCCATTGCTATAAGTGCATGGATAAATGCTGTCTTGGAAAAGGACCATAAATAGACATAATTTGTCAGCGTCCCTTAGACACGTTATTTGGATTCACTTAACACCTCAACCAAACCACACAGAGTTCTGTGTCTGTTAGCTAGTAGTGACTGACTTCAAGCCACTGACCACCTTAATGGTCCACCCCTCTGTATTATACGATTATTTTACAATATATGCAAAAGTATCTAAAAAGTATCCCCTTCTTTCCCAAGTCCTCATGAGATGTGGTTGATTAGGAGTCATCCCCCAGTTTTCATTCAGTGATCTTGTGCAAATGCTTTTCTGCATGCTGTCAAGAAAGTGCATAGGCTGTCTTGTGAGAGATTTCTATTTCATAGATGTTGAATACCCCATCACTTCTGGCTTGCAGCATGAAGCTCTTCCTTGGCCAAAGCAGCGAGTCCTTAAGTGCTTTGTGAAGACGTCTGGGCTTCATATTTCCTAAAACTGTGGTTACGAAAAGATTCCCTGCAATGAAATGGATCCATAAATAAAGATGGCAAATGAAAAAGAACCCAAGAAATACCTCCCTTGTGAAAAGGAGCAGCTGACAAATCATCAGCTGAAACATGTTATGTGTTGGCAGGTCAGAGTCATATTCCTTCTTCCGCTCCCACCTCACCCTGGACACAGAGGCTTTGTGAAGTAGTGTATATTCATAAGTAAAGAACAGAAGTTAAGACTCTTCTGTCTCAGTCATGGGACTAAACCAGATTATGTTATCTGGGAGTGAAAGGATCACCCTTACTTCACGCTGGATAACACCACATGGTGCTATGTGTTCAAAACACATACGTGCTCTACCTCCTTTGTGGCTTCAAATGTTGAAGAAAAGGGAAGATGTTTCCAGTATCTTTTCATTAGGGTGAGGGGGAAGTCTTCTCTAATGATGCATTAAAATGACATAAATCTCCTACTCCAGGAATGAGCTGCTTGAGAAACACAGTTAATACTACATTCAGCTCCAGTGGAAGTCAGCAGGCTTCTTTAATCAAGTATGAAGTGGGCAATGTATATTATGGCCTGTTTTTATCTGCTAGAAAAACTGCCTTTCTTCCTTGCAAAAATGGCATCTTTTTGTATAGCTACAACAGATAAACCTGCCCTAACTGTACCTTGTGCTATGGACTTTCACTACCGGTTTGTACAGTTCTGGGATCTTCCTCTCAATCATGGGCCTCAAGTTCTCCTTCAGCTTCCCGTAGTTCTTTCTGAGCTCTAGCTGATACTCCCGCTGATCAGCAGTAATAAGGCGCTTGTTTTTCTCCACTGCTTCACCACACCTAGGCAAAAGGAAAGAAAAAAAGTCATGACACCTATTTCTGTTAAGCTCATTAACTTTGTGTTAGATAATCTGAATGGCCAAGGATCCAGCTCCTCTGGGCTAGGCATTCCTCTGATAATTTGTCAAGTCCAAAATGATAATGAACTAATAAGAAACTCTGTCTTTTCCAAGTACACAAATTGAGGTGATATTTTTAAGACAGCAGAAATGCATGAGGGAGGTAATAAAAAACAAATGTAATGACTGCAGAATACTGAGCTACCTGCCTACTTACTGTCAACAGATGCAGTGACAATAGCAGAAAGTACAGGCTGTATCTTCTGCGTAAGGCTCATTTTTATTTAACTTAAACTTATCCTTCAGCAGTTATGCTTTGTTTGGACTAAGGAGATGAATATCTTGCTATGTGAGTATGCTTGTTAAGATTTACAAGCATATCTAAAGCAAAGGCCTTGTGTATCTACCAATACCATTGTGCCTGCTTGACAGATAGGGACAAATGTTTTCTTACGAACCACTTCCTACAAAAAAATGTCATTTTATTAAAAATAAAATGAAGGCAATAGTCTGAAATTATTCCTGTAAAATGTCAAAAGATTAAAAAAAAAGGAAGATCTTAATTTGTACATAATTAGTTTTAAGTGTTAAAATTTGCTCCCATTTGGGATGCAAAGCCTACCAAAGCATTGACCGTGAAGCAGAGATAGCAAGTCTGGACGAAGTGTCTAAAGCTTGAGATGCCAGGATTCATGACAGTAACTTGCACAATTAATTACAGAGTCATATTATCGTTGCATTATTACGATTATTGGCTTTATTGATGCAATTCAGCATTTCAATTTTGTTTTACTGACCTCATTATAAACTCTTTGAAGCACAACCTCAGCTTGTTGTGATGTCGATAAAGTTTGGGGTCTGCTGGAATTTCAGCCAGGAACACTTGCGCTACCTCTAGCGGTCCCTTATAGGAATAACACAGGAAAATGTCAAAAACACCTTAGACTGAAAACAGACCACACGTTTGGTTAAGCTGTTTGTTATTTCATGAGCGGAATTGTGAAAGAAAACTATGTAGTCACCATAACAGGATGGTTTTTTGCTCTTCCTCCCCACGATTTTTCCTTTGGCAAGCAGAGGTTTTGCCCATCATATTTTATACCACCCCGTTTTTATTTCTTCTCCAGCCCGACAAAAAAGGGAACAAATTCTACTCAGCAGAGTAGCATAGCTCTACTGCCAAACCTGATTACATGAGAGAAATACAGCTCCTATGTGTGGCATTACAAGACCCCAAGGGAGTTAAATAAGCTCTGCACAGAAAAGGACCATTCTTTCCAAAGCTTACAACAATGTGTTACTTCAGACTAGAGGGTTTGGTTGATGAAGAATCTGGAGAAACTGAGAGTATTTAGGCTTTCAGCAAAGAAACCAAGCTCTGTGAAATTGTGGATAATGCCAAGTTTTCTCTCAGCTATGTCTTCATTCTTTCATTTAATTTTTTTTAATTGCCTTTTTTTGTTAGCAGGCATATTTATGTTATAATTATTGCATCTCAACTTTCTTTTGGGGCACTCAGGTCTTGACTTCATGTATTTTCTGTGAAACTGTGAGTTTGTGGTGGTCCCACAGCAGAATTGTTATTATTATTCCCATTCCCCAAGGATACACCTGGAGCGAACAAAATGGCTGAGATGGCTAGTGTGCTAGAAGTGGAAAATGCTTGGATGCATTCACAAGGTTTCTGTGAGTTTCTGCAACTACAATCAAGACAGCACTTCCATGAGCACTTCCACCAAAAGCATACCTAATGAATAGTATATGTCGACTAAATGTCAAGGGATGAAGTTTAAATGTGCATTGTGACTAAATGTGTCTGACTAGATGCACTACTTCCAGCTCAAGAGCAAAAAAGAAAGCACAGTGAGAAAAGTATGCAGAAACCCTTCATCTCGCTTATTGGGATCCTTACCTGATTTACAGTAGCTCCAACTGAGCCCTGCAAAACCATCTGGAGCATTTTGGCATCTGGTGGCTCTTGGTGTGTGGCTGCAGTTAGTTCCTGTGTTTTTTTCTGCATATCTTCAATAGCAACTTCAATTGGGGTTAAAATAAACTAAAGGAAATGGAAGAAAAGATGCTTCGTTACCGGAATCATGCATGCAGTTGACCTGCTCTAAATCTGTCAATACCACTACCATTCTCCCATGCCAAAAGCAGTAGTTGTGAAACCTAGGAAGACTGTTCAATCTAAATGGCATCTTGGTAGATGCTGCATCAGATCCAAAGCTGTTTGACATCTTCTCATTTGCAAGAACAGGATGTGGATCTGACTCCCTGTTTGCATACGATTCAATAGTTTTCTAAGTTACTGACTTCATGTCTGAAATGGTTTTGCACTTTCTACATTTATAAAGCTTCCCTGTCTCTAAACCAGCTCTGAGTCCAATTTAGTTCTTTGACTGTACTTTATCAGCTAGAAATACAGCCATAAATAGAGCTCCACACATCCTCCTACACAGCATTACAACCAGGAGGTCAAAAGAAGAATATACACTTTCTATCCTCTCTTCTCCATAATAAATACCCATCTTGCATTTGTCTTCCCCTTCTATGCTATTCCTATTTATGAGAGTAACATGTCTGAGAAATTCAGCTTTCTTTTTTTCTGCCAAGCACAGAATTTCCCACCCACAGACTCCTTCAGCACCTGAGAAGTTAGATCTGTCCTCAAAACCCAATTACCTCTTCTTTTTGGATTACATTAATTCTAGTTTTGATGTAGGGGAAAGCATGCATTGTGGTTAAGATGGTGTTCCTCTTGTATTGCTCGCTAAGCTCTCCTCTGGGGCGCCCATCCATGGTGAAAGGTGTAGTGTACATGAACCGACAGAGGTTGAAGTTCTTCTCAAAATAGGTTACCCTGTCTTTCATCTCATACTCATCAAAATATGGTTCCACAAAAGTAATTTGTATGTATGCCTGAGAAAAGAGGGAAGAACCATTACAGTACTTTACAATCCAAGAAGTGTAAAAGGAATGACCTATGTGAAATATCCCATAGTTCACATTGGCTAAGCACAGTCTGGAAGAGTACACAGCTGCAAATCCTTCCGGGCTCCCCTTCTTCAGAGCTGACACAACTTGCCTCTGGGCAGGGCACAGCTTAACCTTGGGGATCAGAGCCAGAGCAGGGACCAGAGATCAGAACTTCTGATTTCCACATTCTTGTGACAAGCTACCAAACTAAGCCTTTCACAGAGACTTTAAGGGCATCCCTGGGCACAGAGATACAGCCAAGCTGGTTTTGGTTTTTGGGGTTTTTTTTGGTGCCTTAATGTTTGAGCATCGAAGTTTCAAGGGGATCCCCCTCCCTTCCTTTCTCTTCTGTGACAAAGCACTCAACATTCTCAGTAGTAGTTTCCCTACCTTATTGGGATCCAGCTTTCTTTTGTCTACAGGAGCAGAGTCCTTAATCACTTCCACAGCATCCTCCCCAAAACACTGGCCATAAAATCCCTGGAAAGGAAACAGCATTATCCTGCTGTGTTTTTAGTCCTTAATACAATGCTAAAGATCTGTATGCCTCTAAGAGGAAGGAGTAACCATGACAATTTCTGGGCTCTGTACAGTCAGTATACTGCTTCATGAACCACAGCTGGCCAGGGGAAGGCATATTCTAACAAGGATCAGCATGAGTTGCTCACAAAAAAGCAGCACTCAAGGTAAAGCAATCAGAAGGGAACATTGCAGTTACATGAAAAAGCTGAAAAGATACCAAAGCAAATATCTGGCATGCTCAAATCAAATCATTCAATATATTACAGGCCTGCCCATAAGAGACATGGTCTCAAGAGCATGGATCACTTTCATCATTACGCTGTAAAAAGGGCTACAATGGAAAGGATATACACAAAGGAAATAATATAGTACAAATCAGTTTGTTACTGATTTTTATAGCGATAATACTACTAGAACTGTGTGGGTTCATTAGAAAGTATAACATAACATTGGAGATCATGTTAACGCAACGTTTTTTCTTTACCTCTAATCTGTGAGAAATCTCAGGAAGTTTGGTAATTGCAGGCTCCTTATAAACAAATTCCTGTTCATCCAAGTCCCCAAATTTGGATCCATAGAAACCAACACGGAAGTAAGTTCCAAACATTCGCTTTTGACCCTAGTTGATAAAAAGAAAGAGGAAATCTACAATTACTTATTTTTTTATGTCAGTGTTGTAATATTTGGTTGCCTTTTTTCCCAATTGATGTGTATGTTTTATAACTGAAAACACTATTTAATTGAAAATAAAGTTATTTTTCTTAAATAGATGTGGCCAGGTGGAATCATGCATATTCTTATTCTAAGTTTGACCTGTTCAGCTATTTTTCTGTCACTTTAAACCAGTTTTATATTCATCTCTGCTTTTTCCTGCAGAGAGGATAGAGCCTCTTTTCACTGCAGACTACCCTCTGTAGGTAGGCCAAAGCAGATGGAAGCTTTTGTTAGAAAAAGGAAATGGATCTATTTCACATGAACAGTTTTATTACCACCAGTCTTAAACAAACAGTGCAACCCAGCAATGTGTCTTACTAGCAGTGCCTTGCCTTGTGAGTACCTTATTAATAATGCTGTCAAAGGCCTTCTGTAGCTTGCTGTGTGTCAAGGTAAGCTTCCTGAAATCTCGATGTGCTTCCAGTATGGGGATGACAATTTTGTACACCTCATTCACAGTTTCATACAATCCCCCCTTCAGAGAAAAAAAAAGGAAGAAAAAAAGAAGAAAAGAAATGAGTCCTCATGCACTCTGGAAAGAAACTCCATCTCCATTAATGGCCTGGCTGAAAATGGGGGTTTATGGGACTCATCTTTTAATCTGCTATGTTGCTTGTTTTAGCTTTCTAAAAACCAGTAATAGTAAATGGGTAGCTCTGAGCTGCAAAGAACAAACTGGATCTGATTTGGATCTCTGATCTGTTGGGCTCTCAAGCCCAAATTCCTGTGTAAAGCACATGGTTTCTACTTAAGAGCAGGAAGAGTTAGAAACACTAACACTGAAAGTGAGCAGAAGGAAATGAATTTGTTTAGCATGTATTGTTCAGGGCAACCAGAGCTGCATCTGGACAAAAGGAATCCATACGATATTGTCAGAGATGCTAAATCATATATCCTCTTTAGCACTACAGCAATATGATGAACTACTTGAGTATTAACATCATGACTCTTTACATGTGGATTATGAGGCTGGTGGTTGTATGCTGTGTAAAAGCACAGGAGTAACTCTCACATGCTTTCTAAAATCTATAGTTTAAACAAAATCTTTTTCTTAAATGTACTGTCCCATGAAAATGCCAACCAAAAGGCTTCATTCATGCCTGGGACAATTATTTTCTGCTGATGCTGCCTGTAGTCTGCACAGTAGAGGTGGATATATGGCTGAGCTAGGCTACCTGGAAAGCCTAGGTTAGCCAACCTGGCTGAGGCAGGGCTGGGTCAGTCATAATACATGATCTGTGGAGCCTGGTTTAGCAGTAAGACTTTGTTTCCTCGTGTACAGGAAAATAAGCTATGGATCTGGCCCAAATAGCCCCACTCCATGTCCTGGTGATTTTGGCCCTCGCTTACCGTGCTGAAGAGCTCTGCTGCTCGTTCCAGCAGCCCTACCAGGCCACTTTCTGAGAAATACCTCCCAGAACATATACCATCTTCATCTGGAGACAAAACGTCATCTGAAACGGCAGATTCCTCCAGCACATTGGATGAAATGTTCTAAAATACATCAGAGCAGAGAAATCAGAAACCTAGATGAATAGTCTGTCATAAAGATCAAAGAAGAAACAGTTTCAACATATTTACATGACGGGAAGAAGAATGAGATTATACAAGTGCAGCCAGGGGATACAGAGTTAAATTCCATTTAGAAGTGAATGTCACATCATCAGCCTCTGCAGATGGCCGCTCAGGAGTTTCGCTACAAGAATCCTAAATTTTCTTTCTGGCGTCAGGTTTAAAAGACAGACTCCTGTAGGTCGCAAACTGGCCTCCCTCTGGTGGCTGGATTTCCATGAAGCTGCTATGAGATGAATCTCCCACACCACAGGGGTCACAACCAATGTGCCCTTTCTGCTGCTGGCACCTGGGAGTGGGAAGTTCCAAGCTGCACCCTGGACCTTCTGCCACCTGCTTGAAGAAGCTGAACTTTCAGGTTTTAGATTTTACTTTTGCAAGCAGAGGAGAAGTAGGACATAGACAATATTGCTCTAAAAACTGCAGTAATTGAATGCTGCTTCTCGTTTCAGCCTCTGCCATATTACAACTTGATCCTGCAGAATTTAGCTGGTTTCTCATTAAAGTTACTGATCTTACTGTGTGTTTAAATAAAACTAGATAAAGTATGCAGTGTCAGTCACTCTTTCAGATCCTAGACAACGAAATAACATGTCTACAGTTCTTCAGGATCCCTTTGAATAGATGACACTGGGTAGAGTCAACATAAAAAATTTTGTAATACATAGAAATATATGTAAATGAACATCAAAATATGTGTACGTACAGTATGGAACTAGCATATGTAACTTTCAACAGCAGCAGAAATGCTAAGCTTCAATTTGCTAGTAATTAAAAGGAGTTAAATTAGTGTCATAGTGTCCCTTTTCAGCAGAAACTGTCAATGACAATCTGTCTGAGTCCAGGATAGATGCCAGCTGGCTAGCTAGTCGAGTCCTTAAAGACATCTTTATAAAATGACAGAGACACTGAGGGCTGTTACTATTGATCAGATTTCACTTAAAGAATTGGCACCACACATCACTAGCAACATGGGAGTTTCCCCCTTGGGTTTTGTGGATGTATTTATTTCTCCATGGGTGAAATCTACTCCAAATGTGCTGCCATCACACTGCCTAGTCTGCACATCATGTCAGCTCCACTGGAAAGGTGAGCACAAAGCTCAGGACAGCATTCACAGGAGTTAAGAATATGTCTGAATTTCAGCCAGAGGGAAAACTGCAGTATGTTTTAACACATCCATACAACTTTTTACCCTACGAGTCTCACAGAAGATAGTGATTTCAAGATAGTGATAGTTTTTCCTTTTCTGTAACAGTAGCCATCAAGGACTGTTTTCACAGAATGGCATGTGGCCTTTGGTGGCTTTTTTGGTTTTTTGGAGCAAAGGGAAAAGAGTCCAGAGGAGTGATTTATTGATGAAAGTAACCAAGAAAGTCACAGACACCAATTATCTCTTGTCTTTAAACCTGTAATAACTAATGTCAGGCATGTGTTTCCATGTTTTACAGTCCACACATTCCAGTAGGAGAGAGCCTTCATGACACATTCCTGGTGCTTGCATGATCTTTTGCAAAGTGGACATGCCTCACCCACCTTTTGGCTTGATCTACCTTTCATATTGAAGAATTGTATACGTCCCTTATATAATAAAGGCAATACACAAGTTATCATGTATATCACCAGCAATTATTTTGGACCTCACAAGCCTAGTTTTCTTCAAGCAAAAGAAACACTTGAGTAAACTCAAGGGGCTTTACCGTGATCCCCAGCCCTTATCACCATGTTAGGTATGGCTACGGTAGCCTGCAACCTAGATCCCAAAACAGCACAGTTGAATTAGGCTACTGCTGAGCCCAGGTGAATTAGCCCTGTGCCTCAGCACGTAGACACACACACACTAAGTCCTTGCCTGTGGTAATATAAAGTGGCTTTAAAGTCAGTCCATATGCAATTCATACTCTCTCTAAGTCTGCCTTATCACTTGCAAAGAGGATTTAGTGTAAACATGAATTAAGCTCTAAGGAAATTTCACTGAAAGTGATCCTGTTCTGATTTTGAGGGGTAGTTTTGACTGCACAGAGGGAAGCATGTACAGTTTTGTGTGGCACAGTATAAGGAAAAGTGTTACTCTACTGACAATCAGTTTTCTGGATGCTAACAGAATCACTGCAGAAGACCTAGGTCAACTGATTTAATCATTTGCTGCCTCATTTTACTCATCTGTAAAAAGGAGGTAACACTTCTGCTCATCCAGAATCATCTTTTTTACACACATTATTATCACCCTCAATTCCACAACTAAATGTATATCACCAGTATTAGTTAATTTCCTATCTGAGCTAAATGAAGAAATGGACACAGAAAGAGTCAGGGAGTGAGATCTGGAACTCCAGGTAAAGCCGAGACAGTCCAAGTAGTGCTTCTCTCTTTTAACAAGGTCATCTGAACAGATCTTCACAGGTGCTACAAACCACAAACCTGTTTGTAAAGAATGGGAGATTTTCTCTTGAAAGGCTTTGTAAAAATATGAAGTGTTATTATAGTTAATTACTGTTATTGAGCAAACTGAAATTCAAAATTATGCTGTCAGATAAAGAGTTGTGCAATTGGGTTTCTGGTCATTAAGACATTTCATTACATCTCTCCTATGGAGCAACCATTCTTTTGGCAAACATGTATTTACACAAGCATTTTGATGAGAAAGATTGATTTCTTGCTTTTAAGCCTTGAAGTTTTTGCTTGCCTAGTGCCTTATAGAATAGACTTCCGTTCTCTAAAATAACTGGAAACATACACATTCATGGAAATCTGCATAACCTGGGAGCAATGAAAGGAGGAATTGCATTAGGGTCAAGTGTGTGAGATTACAAGCATTCAAGGCAGCCTGGGAGCAGGGTGACATTGGGAAGGGAATGCAGATTTCACCCATATCTAAATGATGACAGTATGTAACAAGAAGGGAGAAGAGGAGAAAATGGAAGTAATGAATGGAAGTTGAAAGTTAGGAAGTGTACAAAACTAATCAGGTATTCAAAATGGCAGAAGTATAAATCCATGTAATGTATAATCCATTTTTACTGTAGCCAGTAAAAAAAGTATATACAGCTATCTTAAGAGTAAACTAATTTAAGAATAACACTAGTCTATCACCTGATTGCTAGGGTGGAATTGCAAATACTAATGCCCAACATACTAAACTCAATGCAAAATGCCAAGTGGTCCAATCATGTTCACATTTACTGTTCTGAAGGGAAAAAAAAAGCCCAGGTGGTATGGTTATTTACTATTCTGAAGGTAAAAAAACCCCAGGTGGTATGGTTGTATCAAGGGATGATGAATATACCAATTACTAGTGTTAGCCATTTCAAAATCACCTAGACTATAAAATGGGCTCCTCAACAGATTAGAACAACTAAGCAAAAGGGTATTGAGGCAGCGAATACTGAGTTGCCATATGTTTTAGAAAACTGGGGAAGTTCCAGAGAAGAAAATATGCTTTGGGGACCACATTTTTTTAGAAGTAAACAAGACGAGCAGACAGTGGTACGTTTATCAGTCTGCATCCAGGACAAAGTGGTGGAAATACTGATACAAAACTTTACTAAAGAAAAAATTAAAGGTATTGTAATTAATCTGAATCAACACCAGATTATAGAAACCTGATACCTTTAAAGAGATTACAATCTCATAAAGGCAATAATGCCCCAACAGTAGATGTCTATATGACTTCTGAGTTGATTCTGCAAAACTAATTAGTTGGAATGATTCATAATCATTGCACCAAACACTCTGTAAATGAACAATGGTCTTCACTGGTCTTAGAGAATAATGATAAAGGAAGAATCATCAACATATGGGAATATTTTAAGGGTTCAGCCATTTCTATTTTAATAACGTGTGAAAAATGCCGCAATATCACTGAATTCGCACATGAAGTCTGTTCAGGTAAGGGTAACCAAAACTGGATAATCTGATAAACTACGTATAAATATCTGCATTTCAAAATGTCTAACTCCAAGAACAAAGAGTTATGCTTTCATCTATGTGATATAGAAAAGAAGGGCGAAAAACAAAACCCAAGAAAACTCTCTGGAAATGATCAATGTATTACTGAGTAAAGAGCTCAACAATGCCAAAAGAACCAGTGCAGTCTTTGGAGAGAGAGACTGAGAGACTCCTCCCAGACTTAAAGAACTTACGGGACATTTTTACTTGACTTTGGTGTGTCTGCATGTAGACTATGGTGGTTGTGTCATTCATCAATCAAAAGGATGTTGGTTAGTAACTGGGGGACAGTCAAAGTCCTGGAGAACATGTCTAAAAGAACTGAGTAGCTCCAATTACCTAGATTATGAGAAGGAAGTTTGAAAGATGCATCTGTCACAGTTAATATGTAACAGCCTTAGGAAAAAACGTATGATAATAGAGGGGTTCTACTTAGCAAACAAGAGATTACAGTATCCAACTGCTGGAAATAGAAGTTAGAGACAGCCAGATACTAAAGTACCAATTTTCATCAGGAAGCATAAATCATCAGAACAACCTACCCAGAGTGGTGATGGATACTCTGCCATTGTAACTTTTCCTCCCCATACATGCACTTAACCCCATACTGTGCTTAACACAAAAAGGAATACACAGACCAAAACAGGCCATCCCAGCCTTATGCTGTCAAGAGCTTGGGAGCCTTTTCTTACCTGAAAGCTGACACTGCCCACTGGGAGGTAGTTTCGATCTTCAAGCATGCTGAGGTACTCTGCCACCAGGGCTGCAGCATGGACCAGACACATGGCTGCTTCTGTGTAGCACTTCCTCTTGGTGTGCTTCTCTGCCATGTTCTGCAGCCAAGTCAGCCTCAAGTCGGGTGATGTCTGGTATCCTTTGGCAATTCTAACAACACAGGGCAGAAAGGAGGTGTGAATGATCACTTCTCAAATAACAGAAAGAATCTTTATAATTCTCCACCTGGGCTGAATGGAAGGAGATAGCTCTGTCTTTATTCTGTGTAATTCACTAAGCACAGGGCAAAACAAATGGTTAGGCAGGGGTAGGCAGGACACACAGGGGCTACGAGGAGAATAAAACTGCTGAACTCAAGACTCTTCAGTGCTCATCAGTCCCTGACTCCCATTGTTGCCGAAGTCTATGCCCACCTCCCAGTGGCTCCACTGCAACATGCTCAGTCCTGCAGCCCGGGCCCCCTGTGAGAGATCAGCCGTGCTAAAGTGGGAATGTACACAAACAGAACAGCTAGAGGTTTTGTCCACAGCCTGTCCCTAAAACACACAGTTCCTTCTGCTCGCTGCAGAACTTCCTCAGTAGCAATTCTAAATGGATTCACCTGTACATGAGATCCATGAGCATCTCTGGATCTTCCTGAAATTCCCTCATTTTCACTGTATCTGACAGGATGCTGTTCAGATTACACAGCAGCTCCTCTACCTGCAGTAATACAAAGATCAACATGCATTTCTCAGGTGTTTATTTTTTCCCTTCCAGAAAAATAGCAGCATCTGCACCAGATGATGTTATTCTCTTTTAGTCCCTCTTACCCAAGGAAACGTCAGGATGCTGAACTGCTACAAGATACGTTTTTCCAACTCTATTCAATGCAGCGAAGACTGCTGACATAGCAAATCTTATACGCACATTTTAATTAATCAAAATGAGCTGGAATCCTTTGATCTCTCTCAAGGTCCCTTCCAACCCAAAGCATTCTATGATTCTATGATTCTATTTCTGAATTAAAAAAAAAAATCAAACCTATGTCCTAATGTGCAGCTTTAGTTGTTCTGTGATCTGATAACAAAGCAGATGTTTTTGTAAGTCTTTAGCACAAGCTGAGTAACTGTGAGAATTTTAGCAAAGCATCTGACAGTTGTCTGAAATGTTTTTCATTATTGTTGCTGTCACCTTATGAATTGAAAAAGGATAGAAGTTTCCACGATGCTACTTGTCTGAAAACATTATGAATCAAATTCCATCTTGGGAAACTCTTACAGGGTACACTTCCTGCTGGGGTCTAGAAGAAAGTTGTATACAAAGCTAAGAGATGATTCCCCTGTAATGTGATTTCAATGGAACGTCTTAGGAGTTTATTCCATGGAATTATGTCCTCCACTTCTTCCCCGCTTATCGTTGTGTTAGAAATAAATTCACACAATAACCCCTGCATCCTTATTTTCATTGCTTTGGAAGACCAAGATCCAGGACTTGCTCCAAGCACATTCTTATGTAAAAGCTCCTGATAAAAGCCACAGATGTCATAAAATATTTGACCTGAATTGGAAATGGAGTTGCCTGCATATCTGCATCTTCCTCTGCATACGCTAGGATGGTTCGTAAGGATCGTCGAAGGAATTCCTCATTAAACTCAGGTGATTTGCCAACCAGAGAGGCTAGTGACATGGTTACCTGCATCTTCACTCTTGCAAAATTCTTTCAGAGGAAAAAACAAAAACATGAAAGAATGATGGCTGCACTGCAACATGCGTATCAGTTCACATATCTCTGTCTACTATATAAACCAAACCCACTTTCTCCTGCCCACCCTGAGTGTGTTAAACTCACCACTTACATGAGTGGCCTTTGGTGCATCAAAGCCAGTCCTGTTTTACCTGGTTAAGCCAAAGTTCCCTAATTCTGACATGTCTGTACTTTGGGGCAAGAATATACCTTGGAATACCTTGCTTGCTTGAGACAAGGGAATTCAAAAGCACCTCTTTCCCCCTCTGCACAGGCCAGTGGGTGTGTAGATAAGGCCACCCACAGAGGACAAGAAGAGGAAGCAGGACTGGGAAAACATTCTGGAAATAAGTCTGGGAAGTAAAAAGCCTCTATGGGCTTCACGTGGTGATGCACTATGCCTTGCTGATTGTAGTGCCTCAGAGGCACATTCTCCTGCTGCAAAGCCAACACTTTTTACACATTCAAGGCTTTTAAAGTAGCAACTAGGGAAGAAAATGCTGTGCAAGATCAGATGCTATCCAAAATGCTAATGCATGTCCTTTTGTGATAGGACATTGTCAACCTACATATCATATGTATTTTGCTCCGTATGTGTGGTAAGAAACAGAGCCTAGTCCTGAGACCAAGGGGCCAGTGAAGAATTCCCATTAATACAAGCATACAGTAGTTCTGCAGAGGTTTTAATTGCATTAGAATAGAACTAGTCTAGGTTTAAGTAGTTCTGACATAGGAGTGAAAAAAAAAACATGTGACAAAATGAAGAGTATTGCTTATGCATTGTATAGTCCTTGCTGTCAGATGCCTCATGCTGTTCCATTTGAAGATGCATTTATAGATGTTGCAGAAAAAGTCACATTTTCCTAAACAAAATAATGAACAATGATTAAAACCACTTTCCGCCTACACTTCTAGCACTTTTTCTGGCTCAAATGTGCAGAACAGCATCACATATGACTATTTATCTGCAGAGGCATTCCATTTGCTATCACAACTTCAGCTTCAGTTTCAATTTATCATAAAAAAAGGTGGCACAAAACATACTGCTGTTCTCAAAATCTTACACTGGTAGAGCTGAAGCTGTATCTCATGAGGAGATAGAGAGTGGCACAGGCTTGAGTCCGTGTAATATCTATGCTGCTGCTGCAGTGATGGAGAACTCTTTGACACAGGTCAGCACATTGTTCGACCTCTTCTTCAAACAGGAAATCTCCAAACTAAGGGAGATAGAGAAGAAAACATTCATTATCTTGTTTCTAGCCATTAAAACGTCATTAGCTTAGTGCACAAAAACCACAGGATTCCAACAAAGACTAAAGTTTGCATAAACTACATTTTATACTTCTTCTAATTTGGACTTCTGATTCCTGTGACGCTGTAGGTTCCATTTTCAAGCTTTTCTACAGAGAAGAAGGGTTTGAAAATAGTTTTTGTGTTTAGAAAAAGCATGGTAGAGAGAGAATAAAAAAAATTCTCAGAGTCCCATGGCTCCAGGAGCTTTTGAAAACATCGACTATTGCAAAATTCTTAGAAGCATGGAGAGTTGCTATTTTCAGAATATATAATTGTTGATGAAACATGCAAATACTTCCTTAAGCATAAGGAGCAATTACTAGCTTTTTGCATCAATGCCTTTCTCTTCCCCAGCCCTACAGATGTTCCTCCTCCTACAGTGTGCCCCAAAACTTCCACTGCCCAACTTTCATGCCAGACCCTCCTTTACAGTGTCTCCACAATGCACCTAGCAGACAATAAACGCAGAGGGCAGGATGTCTGTCCTAAGAAACCCTCACCGTAGACAGCACAGATGCACCAGTACCGTATGTACATACACAGGACTGATGAAGGTGTGTGAGCAGAACACAGGATATTATTTCTCATTTGCAGGCCCATTTCCCCGTTCTCAACACTTTTTCACTCCATTATGTCACTGGTTTATGTCTAATTTATATTACAAGCCTGCTGGCATGGGGTTCTATAATTTTTATTTGTAAAATAACATCTATATACCTACAGTATAATAGAAATAATTGGAATGATTGCTTCATAAAATACAGAACTGAGTCAGCTTAACTAGAAGATCTATTTCAATGAGAATAACGATTGCTCCACAAAATTCATTATTGTAATTGGAAGTTAGCTTTCAAAGATAAAGTACAATGAAAACGTAATTATCAGTTTCATAACTGATCTACCCTGTAATTAGGCTTTGTCAGCCAATCTGCATTTAACAGCACACAGGCATTAATTGGACAGGAGTATCCTGTTTGTCATTTGCATTTTAGAATAGTTTAGGGGAAAAAAACATTTTATGGATTTTTCCTTTGTGCAACTGCTTTTCTTTGTAGTAGAATAAATCTTAAACAGATTTTACGGAGTCCTCATGAAGCACCTAAACCATTATAACCCATATTATAAAAATGTTGGGTCAAATTCTGTCTTTATACACATTGTGAAATATTGTGGTTTTTTTTTTACTGGTGATACAGAAATGAAAGAGAGATTAGGATTTGGCTTAGTTTTCAGGCAGAATGAAGATGAAATCTGTCAATGGCTTAGAATCTACTTAGAATTTGGGAACGTGTCTTAGAAGTAGAATCTAGAATGATCCCCCTGATCTCTGGTGAGTCAGCTTTGATTTCTTTGCTGCACAGCGGGTTTGAAACTAGTCCTGATGATATAACAATTCAAATTTGACTTTATGGAATCTGTGCAATCCCTGGTATTCAGATTCCTAATTAAAACCAAAATATATTTAAAATATAATAGGTGGAATTTTTACCTTTTTATTAGCAAATCTTCTATATTTAAGAGTAGACTACTAAAACCACAAGATTATTCAGATTCATTTATTCCTGTGTAGTCAGTGAATAACCTTACAAGACCTGTAGAAGTCCCTTAACATCTCTATAGATAGGCATTCGTATTTACATATGCAAAACATATGTAACAAATGCCAAAGGAAAAGAGGTGAGTGCCCACAGCTCTGCTCTAGAAATGCTGCTCTAATAACTTGATTGGAAGCATGAAAACAGAGTATGTCAAGAGCATACCTTAGCAATGAGTGCTCTGAGTGTAGCAAAGCAATGAGTCAGGTAAGTGGTGCTCTGATCACAGCCAAGAGAATTTACCAGGACCTTCAAAACTCCTCCCAAAAGATTGTCTCTGCACTCTGCTGCAAAGCTTGCCTACACATGGAGGGAAAAACCAACAATAACTGCATGATGTAATTCAGCAATGAACTGAAGTTCTGCTCTCTTTTCCATGAAACACATCCAGGAATTTAGAGATCGCAGTATTTTCATTTGTTAACATGTGCTTCAGAGGAATTTCAAAACACTTTTGTAGTGATCAGGAAGACAGAGGGGAAAACATCCCAAACATTTCTCCATATCCACAGACTCTCCAAGGCCTTTTTAAGCTCAGCCAGCTTCTGCAGTGACTCTTGAAGCTCTGTACACATTCTGTCCAATCTTTCATGTACCTTGGATCTGGAAGTGATCCTCTGGTGGGCAAGCACCATCCTTCTCCTTGCCTCCTCATGCTCTGATTTCTTGGGCATATAGGCTAAATAGGCATACTGGTATGCTCTGATCAAACCCACAACCCAAACAGTGGAGAGACTAGGTGCTATGAGTGGTGTCGTGCAAAAATGATGCCCAGTACTATAAGAGTCTAGTAGCTAAATGCTTTTCTACTAACGTTTTCAGGAACTAAGTTTTCTCCTTGCTATCTGTGAATATCCATGTTGCTCCAACAGTAGTATTCCCATGCCCATGAATTTGGAGTGTCTCCTCTAAACCAGGAGACCATGTTTAAGAGAGGCAACTATCATGATTCCACTGCTGTCAAAGGATGTGTGAAGTTTTACTGCATCTGACTCCTAGAAGCTAAGTAAGTTCTGCATATTACATTGCTCTAGGGAGCGTCTCTCTTTTCAGAAGGACTCCATGCAGGTGGAAGGTCTTTCCTGCACTGAGCACTCTGTGGGAGTCAAGGTTAAATCCTTCTGTCTCACAGGATCATACATGCAAGTATGACCAAAGGCCACCCAGCAGTCCAGTTCCAAATTACTAATATCTTCAGATACATTCCTAGCATAAATGAAGATTTTCCTTCCCTCATCCTCTCCAAAGTCACAGATGCAAGTGGAAAGACAGTGGAAATGGCTTTCAACAACATCTACTGAAAACAAGGTGGTAGATTTCCCTTTCATTCACAGTAGCGCAATGCCCTACAGTACAAAGGGCTTCTGGCAACAGAGTAAGGTAGGCAGCAATTTCATCTGGATTCATTCTTCTTCCTCTTTTTTTTTTCCCTTCAAGATTATACAAGTTTATAGAAGATCTTTAATTAAAACATTTTGCACTGCCTAAGAAACAAAAGGAGAAATTAATCTTGCTTCCACTGGCTTCTGAGGGAGCAGGGATTGGTACCAAGCCAGCTCTGCCATTTCCCACCTGGATGATGTTCTCTTGCATATCAAGAATGATCAGGTTAGCTTCAGTTGCCAGGTTTCCACTGATCAGAGCTTCTTGATCTAGCTCAGCTTTTGTCCTGCAAAAAGGAGTTCTAATTAAAGCACACAGAGAGTACCCCAAGGGTTAGATGGCCTGCTGTTTAAACAAAGCCAAAATACAAACAATACCATTCTGAACGATTCTGTAAGAGCAAACAATGAAAACAGTGTTCAGAGATGTTTCTTAAGAGCTACAGAGTCAAATGAGGAGAGCTGATATCGTAGAACCGAAGTCCCAAAGGGGACACCTGAAAACTAGGCCTCTCAATAGTTCGAATAGATGCTTCTGCTTCCCTAATAGCAATCTGTGTAATGGTTACTTTGCCCTCAATATCATGCTCAATTGTTTAATAAGCTACACAGTAATTTCTGAATGCATAGCCTGTAGCAGGACACCAAAACCCAAAATGGAATAAAAGGCAACTGATCTAACACTTCCAGAAAAAAAGTAAAAATAGCAGGCTTGGGCAAAGGGGAAATTGCTTCAATGCCATAGCAGCAGTGTTTAATGTAGACAATTAAAAATGCTGATTCTTGACACTGTTGACAACATAAGACAACAGGTCCAATGGCTGCGGGGTCAACACAGAAGTGCCCCAGACCATTTAACAGAGTACTGAAACATTTATGAAAGACAGAAGGTGGAGGTAAGCCAATGCATGATACCCTCTTAGCTGAGACTTAAGGATGAAGTCTGGAACACAGCTCTTCTACAGCTGAAGGCTCTAAGCACAGGTGCAGCTCCTAACAAAAGTGTATTTTCGTAGATCCCTTCTATGCCAGAAACACAAAGAGGAGGCTTTGTTCTTTTTCCTAAACTGCTCAGAAAAGGGCTGTTGCATGTCCAGAAGCTGCTCTCTAGAGCTTGAGATTAGAGCTGCTCTGACTTGGGCCAAAGTTTCTAAAGGTGCATTTCTGTGGCTGGAGCAACACCCTTGTAATCACACTTCTGAGTGACTTCAAAATCTGTGCCTTTTCTGCTACATTCACTTACCTTTTCTGCCTAGTGGAGTCTTACCCAAAAAGAAAACCAGAAAAGTAAAGAGTCATCCTTTTGGGCACAAACAGATAATTCTGGGGAGGGCTAGGAAAGGAAGTCAGGGCAGTCGTAGGGTTATTAATTACAATGACTCAAAGCAATGAAGAACAGAAGGGCCTGCCAAAAGGCTGGTGCTATAATCAAGCTAGTGATCGCTAAATATGAGTAAGAACTGAACAAATTCAGCAAACAGCATAAGTGTTTGAACCATTTCCAGCAACCACTCAGCCTTGCACATTAACCATGCTGACTGGATCCTCTCTGACACCACACTTACCTTAAAACTGCAACTACAATCCCAAAGCATACTGGACTCAATAAGAAGCAGACTGAATGAGGCTGAGTGGCGACTTGTGCAAACCTGTTGCGCCACATGCTACCTGCAAACACCTTACTCATGGGACATATACACTAAAGGGATCCACAAAGGATGAGAGCAAAGATCTCACCACAGTGATGAACGCTGGGTAAAACAGAAAGGCCCGGACAGCATGCAGAGTTTTATTTATGTAACCAGAAATTTTATTTTAAGTGGTTTAACTGAACTACTGTAAAGAGATACTGTAGAGCTGCTGCTTGAGGATGGTTTTATTCTGATTTCAATGAAACTGGCTGGGAGAAAGCAAGCTACTTTCAGGGCAAAATAGGAATATCCACACAGGATCTGCAACTCTTCTAATCTAGCACAGAAGGTGGAAAGAATCTTCTTTTACAGTTTGGATAAATTCCAAATTAACAATCTTGTGTTCAAAAATGTGTGTGATAATCATGGATGAGTGCTAGACTACAACAACATAGTTGCCACATAGCGCAAGCCAGTGTTCTCAGTTCAGATTCACACATGTTGAAGGATATCATGGGAGCTCACAGCAGCTGGACTGGTGAGAGGCCACAGTCTCTATCTATCTGACACACGGTGGCCTGTTTAGATAGTCAAAATTCAAACAAATATCTATCAACAGATGACACATCTCCTTTAGGGAAAAGCAACAAGTTCTATGCTTACAGAAACTAAACACATACCATATGAAAATGCTGTTAGTAACACAAATCATTCCCAAAAATACAGTCTTCCATAAACCCAGACAGACTTGTCTACTACCATATAGTGCTGATAAGGTGAAATGTACTGAGACATCATAACTTAAAACCGGCAACAAGAAAAATATCCGCTAATAATATTCACTACAGAATCATCTTCCCCTCCTCCTGCTAACAACTCCTCTCAACTTTAACATAGCATGTCAAACCCAGCTCAACTGCTTTTATGCGGCAAAACTTATAGCACAGTACTGTGTACAATGAGGAGCCATAGCAACACCAAAATAAATGTCGCAGCAAGCCTCTGTGGAGTGTTTGATACAACTTGTATCAATAACTAGTGTTTACCACACTGCTAATCAGAAGGAAAAAATGTGTAGGTAACTATTTAAACTCCTCAGTCAAGTATTTGTGATCTCCTTGTTGTGTCATCGCAACAGTTGGACACTTCTGCTACATAAACATTTTCTATTTCTTTCTATTTCACAGAAGCGGGAAAGCATTGAAATATACTGATTTTTTAATAAAACATCCTAGGAGAAAGAACAAAACATAGAAAAACTAAAAAGCTTGGTTCTAATAAAAGCAATATATATATTTATTAAATGACTTACTTATCTTGTCTCTCATTTGCCTGCCGCCAGTGAGTCTGCTCCTTTCTCCAGCGCAGGTTCTCATTTAGCCCTGCTGATCTGTCATTCCCTAAAAGTGCAATATATATCAGTGAGATTAAAGCAAAAAGGGACACCTGAAGCCTGATAGCTCACCAAAAGAAGGAGATACATATTTGTAGCCATCTGTCAGAACTAAAACCATTCAACTTCACAGCCTCAGGGCTCTAGTAAAAGGACAGGACCTCAACATTTTTTTCATCTAGGATTTTTAGAACATTAGCTTGCTTACAGATCCTTTCAAAGACAAAAACACAAACTATTCCATTTATTAAATGAAAAAACCTTTTTTGCTATGAACAATTTATTTTGACACCATTTCTTGGTTCTTGATTAGACACTAACTAATTTCTCAGAGTGTCTTAAAACTTCTTTGTCGGCCTCATATTCTTCACTTGAGAAGAGCTCAGTCCTAGCTACACCTTGGATAGTTGAAAGCTAATGATATTTTTATCCACAACAAAACCAAGAAAGGTCTGCAAGGAAAAGGACTGTGGGTGAAAAACATAAGGATGAAAATGGGGAGTGTGCATAAAACCCAACAAACTCATTTGTGTCTACAACCTCTGGAGATCCTCTCAAAAGACATGGGGGAGAGGGGTATGAAGTACCAGCTGGAGTTCTGCAGCGCTTCATCATTTCTCCTCTGGCTCCTTCACCTCTCAGTAAAGCCTCCTCTAATCGGGCCTTAACATCTCGTGACTTCTGGAGTGCTTGGGTGCTAACTTTATCTGAGCTTTGTTTGCCCTGAAAGTAAAATCAAAGCAATCAGCAATCAACAGCAATGCCTCCATCTTTGGACATGAGTCCAAATTACATCTCCAGAGCCAGACACAACAGGAGAGACCTGTAGAGGGGGCAGAAAGCAATGAATATAATTGACTAACATATAAAGACTAATTAAATGTTGTAGATGAGGAAAGAGGTAGTATATGTACTGCTAATAAACACAAATATGTACAGTGCTACAGAGAGAGAAATTAAAGTTCAGAGAAAAGGTTATTTGATCTATTTCAGACAGACCCTATCAGAGAGGGGAGTCATGATGTCCAGTCCCAGCTCTTAGCTAAAGGGTCATCTACCACAACCTTGCTTTGAAATGGGTAGAGTGTAAGGAGAACAGCTCCAGTACTTACGGGAGCTGTCAGCATATTGCCCACCAAAAATAGCCCTTAAATCCCCAGGAAGAGGAAAATAATAAAACAATTTAAGCGAACTTCACAGGACTTCCTCAGAGGTTTTGGCTGCATTTTGCTTGAAGGCTAGTGTCAGTTATTTTGTCAGAATTAATTTGTCTATTTGTAGCATAGATTAGACAAGAGCTAATTTAGCAATTGTCAATAACAAATTTCCCCTGGACAGCTGGAAGGTAAGGAAAAAAAAAAGAAACCAAAACAGGGCAACAAAATCAGGCCATGTTTCACTTACCTTGTACTCAAAGCATGAGACACAAATGAAGAGGAGGTCTAAAATCCTGTTCAACTGCATGGATGGAAGGTCTGCAATCCATTTCTGTATTAGATTCTGATCAGCATTTTTCATGATCCAGAGGAAACAGATCAAAAGGTTGCGAGTAGTATCAGGACCTAATGTAGCACTCTGTCTGTAGGGCTAGGAGCAGATAAAGTAAAAGTCAGCTGAAAGAAGAAAAAGAAGAGGAAGGTCATTCAGGTGAAGTAATGTTATTTAAATTTCAGTGAAATCAAATCTCAGGACTGGACTTCAGTAAGTTTAACCTCTTCCAGGTTATACTGATCCTATTTTTTCAATGTATGTGTGTGTAATTAGTGACAGGACCAGTTGTATGCATGTGAAAGACAGGAAGAAGGGACCAGTTGTATGCATGTGAAAGACAGGAAGAAGCGCAAGAGCATTCTTTGCTAGATACTTGTATTCTAATTTCCTTAGAATAATGTAGAAAAAGATTGTATAACTGATTGGTCCCCTCTTGCCACGCAGTTATGTCACCCGAATTGTACAGAAGATAAAAACAACCATGAAGAAAGAGATAGAGAGAGAAAAAGAAGGATCTTGAGTCCTAGATCCCTGGATTCAGGTGAGACTGGGACTGGGAGGCAGTGGGGAAGTCATAGCGCCATTTGCTGATCTGGAAATGAGTTTAGGTTGGGTGTGGAAATGGAAATAGACATGTGGGAGAAAAAGTGGAACTCCTTATGGTAAAGGAGTAATGAAATGACTAGAAGAGCAGGATATGACAGGACGAATATGAGGCATTCTTTGGGGCTCAAGGAAACAAGCACAGTTTCTCATGACTGTAGTTATTAGTTGCAAGAAAGGATGAAATGAGAAAACAAAGAAAGATTAAAACAGATACAAGAAAGGACACTGTGGCAGAGCACTGGACATACCAGGGACACCAGAGACATTCCAGAGGTCCTGAGGTTGCACTGATTCCCTGCAATGGCAAGAGCCACATTTTGATTGATTGCACCTGCAGACTCTTGTTCTTCTTCTGGGTTTCCTGTGCGTCCCTTTCCACTGCGGGCATCTGAAACTAGATTTGAAATATCTCATTGGAATTTCAAGAGCAATCCAGTTGTTGACACTCACATGTCACAGTCTTCCATTGGGCTGTAACCCAACAAAACAATTGGCACCTCCATCCCTGAGACTGTTGGTCTGGCTGATGTACCAACCAGTGAGAGAGGTGCAGCATTAGCAAGACAGATTGCAGCCATCTGCAAAGGCTGCCAAATTGTTCAAATAAACACAGGGAAAGGAGATGTCTCCAATAAACTCCAGGTGTTCAGAGAAGCTAAATCAAAAGCAAAGGCAGTAGCAAACGTGAGGTCGTCTCTGAAGTTCAAAGCTAAGCCAGCGCTTCCTAAGACTTGGAACCATCCAGTTCCAGTCCATTTCAGGCAAGAGGATCAACACAAAAGCCATACATGGCTTTAGTGATATTCAACAAACTATCTAAGTCTGCTAACAGCTGACAGAGCCACTATTGACTGCTGGCTAAAGAACAAGTTTAATTTCAGGCATCTAGCTGCTTTTATTCCCTGTTAGTTCTTGACATCACTTTCGCAAATAGAAGTTATTTATACCTAAGTTTTGTAAAAATCTCCTCTGTTTCTGAGCATCCATTTTGTTTTGCAAGTCCTGTTTTTTAGAGAAGCTGAGTGACCAGCCAGTCCCAGTGTGTTCAGAATGAGATCAACAGCCTCTTGTGACAGATACTCCAAAAGAAAGACACTCTAAAACCTAGCCATACTGGTACACCTTGGCTTCCTCATAATGTCTCCTTTTCATCTGTGGTATAAGGATAACACTTAGATTAGAAGAATGGGGTGACATCTGATTAGCCAATGTATTATAAATGCTTTTATTCCATTAAACTGAAAATGCTAAATAATACTTTCATAGTATGAAGTTTTTTGTCCAGACATCTAAATGCAAAATATTTTCAGAACCAGTGACAGAAGTATGTTCTTCAAAGATTATACCTTTTTTCTTTACAGTCTTTATTTTATTTATGGAAGTGAAATGTAGCTTTCCAAGCAGCAGAGATCTACCATCTTACCAAAAAAAAGTGAAATAGCTACTTTCAGCAGTATCATGTGAACACACATGTAGCAAAATGCAAGGAAGCAGCTCAGATAATGTTGTTTTAAAAGGTTTGATAATGTAGAGCAAAGTTTATAGTTATAACAGATGATAAAAATATACTTCCTTTGTGATGATTATATTTGCCTGAGATGAATTTGGGTATCATGTTAACAGCACTACAGAGCAATAGAAAAAGATAGAAAGAATACAATCCAATTTCTTTAATTGTGATGTAACACAATGTCAGCATCACTCCTGTTTTCTTCCCTACTGTCTGTTAAACCTATCTATATCTCAGTATTTCCTGCAGATCTTGCGAACTTTATTTGCAGGATCCTAATATTTACACTAAGAGATAGGCAGGATTACTTACAGATACGTCTCTGGTCTATCATTTGCTCATGAAGTGAGGACACTGAAGTTTTTCCTGTCTTTAAAAAATCAGTTTACTTCTAAGTAAAGGAATAGACAACCTTACTATACTGTAGGGAATTTCTGCACTTAGTATGATCTCTTTTATGTTTGATAGATTGTTTAGACAAGTCACTCTAAGAAGCTGAAAAATACAAAGGGAAAAAGGTCTTACTTGTAAAATCATGGAGCTGTGGCAGTGAATCCAAAATTATACCAACCAAAGGGAGGTAGAGAGCTGCAATTTTAATCTTCACCTCTTTTTTGGAGCAACGTGGATCTAGGTCATGGGAACTCAGCAGGCTAAGGATAGCACTGACAGCTTTTCTTTGCACCTTGCTAATCCTGTTAACACAGAAACCATCCATGAGCTCCATTAATGGGTCATGCACAAATTATTTGTAAATCAAAGATTTAAGAAAGAGTGGACGTGAAAGAAACAAATTAATACACCAATATTCATTAGATAATCTCCTCCGTTCTGAGAAGAGACTCATGTTCCCTGCAAAAAATAGCTATCTTACATCTCCAAGCCACTTCACCACAATCAAAGAGCACTCAAGTCTTTAGAACTTCCCACAAAAATTCAATATGGTGAAGAGAGGGGCTTAAAGAAAAGCACAGACTCTTGTCAAAGTTTAGCTAAACGCTTAAGCTCAGACAAAGGCAGAGGTGTTTTAGAGAGAAGAGTAACTGAAATTTTAAGTTGTGTTCTCAGTTTGTGTATTTAGCCAACACTACTGCAACAAATAGTGTATTTTCATTCACTGGGACCAACATGCTGCAGATAAAACAATGACTGGGTTATTGCTATGTTACAGAGTGATTCACCAAAAAGAGTAGGGGAAACAGGACTACCTTGGAATCAAACTATGACCTTGCCAAGGGTAATAGTATGACTTGATCCCATTCTAAAATCTGAAAATTGGGATACCCACCCCTCGCTGTCTGTGTCCAGTGCTGCTGCCAATTCAGTGAAAAGTAAGCCGGTCAGAAAGTGCTGCTGACGGTATTCGGCTGAGAGGTCAAACATACCAGCAATTTTCTGGTCCTGGAAACTAGAGCAGGAGCTAGAGTTCTGCAGAAGTATATTAGAAGTGTTAAAGAATGATCACGGAAATCAAAGCTTCTTAAAGAGGTTGTAGTCACAGTCCATGTAGCTAACAGAAAATCTCTACCAGAGGAAAAGCACAGACTTTGAAAGAAGGTTGGACATTTTGCAGGAAAACATCTGAGTGTGAAATAAAAAGCATCTAGTCTCAAATGAGTTGCTTGCTAGGATGCAGACTCATCCTTTCCATTCTGTCTGAACAACACATTTGACATTTTTTGAGACACAAAATTCCTACCCTGTATTCATTAGTTTCGACAGGACTCAAAGTCAGAATTTCCTCCATGTTTACAACTCCTCATATTGCTCTCACTGTTGCAGAGGAGCCACTGGGCACTGTACAGCAAGAGGCTGCCCCTACAGTAAGAGGGACTTTGGTGTTAGAAGCTTTGCACTGTCCCTTCTTCAGCATCCATGTCTAGCAGGGAAGTAAGGTCAGGAAAGACGTGTGAACAGTGTTTCCTTTCACCCTGGAAATCCTTGGCTGAGCTTGCTGGCAGCTGGCATAATTTAAAGCAGCCTTCACACTGCTGTAACTTATGGCTATGACTGATATACAGCCAGCCCAGGAATGGAAAGTTGCTGCTATATATGTGTTGTGAACTTCTTAGCTTCTCCAATCATAGGTCTGTGCCACAGGTCACCTGGAATATTTTTGTCCCCTGGTCGGGTGAGCGTAAGTCTCAGACTCTACTCCCCAGTGCAGCCACTGGGGTTTATGAGTCCAAATTTTGCTTTTAATTTATATTCTTCAATATTCTCTCCCAATATTTCTGTCAGTCACCTGGGAACAGTCCCAGAAAATAAACACATGAAGTAGCAGTATACCACACTGTGGCAGCTGTCTTCCAGCACACCAGGTCAAATGAAACTCATGTCTCTGAGCAGCCCCATATTTTGGATCCACGTACTTAAGCCCACTCCCATTTCAACCTCAGGCAGACAGGCATTGGCTGTACTATGTTTGTGTGGAATAACGTTAAAGCATAGAGCACTCAGTTAAGTGAATTTGGCTTCTCTCCAAGAATTCCAAAAGATTTATTCACAAGGCCACATTTCTTACTGAAAATCTAACTCTAGCTGGGCAGCACTCCTGCAGACAGATCAAAATTACTGCAAGGGTGGTCAGCTAATGTATTAAATCATCCAAGGGCCACAAAAGCCTTACTGATTTGCACAGGTTGCACTTCATAGGTTAATCCTTAGGAGAAAAAGAGTTGATGATGTTGCTTGAAGGAAAGAATGATTAAATTGGTGTCTGCCCAGCTCTGGCTTGCTAGAACTCGTTGCAAGAGCTATGCTGACTTCTTTTTTCCCCCATAAGCAGAACAGTCCCATTTCTAGTTCTTTGGCATCCAGGATTAGCATTAAGCAAAACTATTGGGAAATCCTGACTCTAAGACCTTCATGCTTTGCTTTTAAGATTAGGAAAAACTTCAAGAAAATATTATTTACTATTATTGACCTGTCAGAACCCCTAAGGTATGAGATGTAGCACATCTTAGCATCCAACCAATTATTTGGCAATGACACTTGAAAAAGAAATCGTGAATTTGAGCTGCTTTGTTACTCAGAGTGTTTTTGTGCCTTCCACCATTCTTAGCTTCAGTACCATTCCCCTGCATCTACGGTCTGTGGCAATTATGGGGCACTGCACTGAAACGCTTCATCCCAGTCCTGACCTCTGCAAGACCACTGAGGTGGAAAACAGGCAGGTGAGCACCCTTTGTTAGGGTGTCTGCCCCATGGTAAAAGCAAGTTACCACCTAAGTGGAATGTAGAGGGGAAGAGCACAAGACTGACAAAATAGTGTGTGGCATGCCAGACAACAATTTCTTTATTGAATGCGTTTGTGAACTCCATGCCCAGGATGATGGATGGGACGTCCTGACATTCAGGAAGTCTAGAGCTGTGTCAGTATCAGGTCAAGTCTGGAAAAATGTGCATGTACTAGGAATGACATCCTGGGAGAAATGAGAAGTGATGAGGAGGGGCATTCACAAAAAATGTGTAGAGAGGCCCACTCAGGATGCCTGAGTATTTCCACACAGAAAAATCATAAAGTTCAAATAAAAGGGAAAACACTGTCCAGAAAACACAGAGAAATCACTGGCAAAGTTTTAGCATCATCTGTACCACTGGGGTGGCGAGGAACACAGAACAAAGAATGCTGCTATTTGGAAAGGAAAGCATGACAATCCTGCTCTGAACAACACTAAGGCTCAACAGAAATCTGTGATTCTGGGATATTGAAAATTGCAGTGTTTTAGTCACTAACTTACATAGTGGTAGCATCTACATCCACTTGGAGAACAAACAGTTCAGCTAGAATGTAAACGCGCAGAAAGTTTGCTGTGCACTACTACATGCCATAATTTTCCAAAACAGATACTGAAATACATATTTGTGGTTGCATATGTATGGGATATAGGTGCGCCTTCAGAGCCATGTTCCTTTTAGATCTTGTATGTCTACCTTAACAGTCATTTTCTGTTTGCACATTTCTAGAGGGGCACGTATCTGTGTCGTTAAGTCTTAACTCGTGTAGATGCAGTTTTGCAGTGGTACTCCATTAGTCTTTATTGTTCTACCCCTTTTCTTTCAAGGGGGAGTTGTTCTCCCTCATCCAACAGTGGCTGATTCTAACCTAAGTATCTGAATACAGAGCAACATAAGTCTTGCTCTACATGTGTGCTTCATGTGATGTTCATGCAGTATTGTCTAATGGATGCCTACCTGGGAGGATAAGGAGGGGGAAGGGGATGCTGGAGCAGATGTGGAGGTCATGAAGAAGAGGTTCAGATTGAGGTAATGCTCATGGCTGCAGAGAATCCTCAGGAACTCCAGTCTCATGGAAATCAGGGTGGAGAGTGAATTCAGTTTGTTTGAGAGCTAGAAAAGCAAACCAAAAAAGTGTCATGTGATGGGTGTGCACTATTTAAATTATCATGCAGTGAAATATCCTGCTTCCTGAAACAGAAATAGACAAACAGCCCAGCACACATTAAAATGCTCGCTGGTTCCCTGTACCTCACTAGTTTCCATCCATGAGCTGCTCTTTGTTTGGCAGTGGTGGTGTCTCTCTCCCCTCTCCCCACCTAACTTACCAACTTCCCAAGAGACAACCAATTGTTTTTTTTTTTCCTCCCAAAAGAAAAACATTCAATATCTCTTCCCTTTTGCATAACAGAAAGATTAAAACAAAACAAAACTCTGCTAAGTCTGTGCCAAACTCATAAAAAGTCCTGCTAGGCAACACAGAGCATCAGTGTCTTGTCATTTCCCTTCATATCAACAATGACGTCAGTGGAGTATTGCACTTACTATAGGAAACGGGGCTGGTAGCTGCCTTGTGTTCTCCTACCTACCATCAGCTGACAGGGGGGCCTTCCTTTGGCAGAAAAACTACAGCAGGTATATCGGGTCATAAAACGGAAGGAAAAGTTTCCCCTTCAAATACAACAAATAATTTCATAACAACATCCTTCTTCATAATTTCTTTTTAATTTGGGGGCCTTGTAAAGCAGGAAGACAGAGATGGATCATTTTCATTGAACCCCCCAAATCTAAAATACTGTCCATCACAGCAGTGTACTGGAAGATCAGAGACCAAAAGCTGCTCTGTATGGTCTGCAGACCCTGCTGCTAAGGGATGTAAAAATGTAAGGGAAGAAAAGTCGCTCCATGGATGCTCTGCAGCAGTGCAAGGTATGACATTTCTAAAAGAGTCTTAACCTCCATTCATTTTTTTTCTGCAAACCACAAATCAAAAGAGGTTTAAAGTCTCTGTGTATGCAATAAGAAATAGGAAATTTACCTGGCCCTTTAACACAACTCAAAGGATCTTGATGGATAAATGAATCAAACAGAACAGAACACTGGACTGGCTATAAGCCAAATGCAATCCCAATCAAGCAATGGTGCCTACCTGATTACAGTAATGTTTGATGAGATTAAACACAAATCCTCGGTCCATTAAAGAAAGAAGATCATACAAGAAAAATGCCAGGCTGATATTAATTTTTTCTGCTTGCTCACTTTCCTTTAAAAAAAAGGGGGAGAGGGGGAGAAGAATTGCAGTTATGCTATATAAAACTTATATAAAGACGGAAGACTTTTTAGAATAATTAAAACATAGTGTAGGGGACAGGTCCCAGAACCATCACATGGAAAATACTGGACAAGATTGTTTCAGTTCTCCAATTTATGTGATCTTGTTAAAATTATACAGAATCACTCCTGTAAATTATTTCAACTGCTGTAGCTTTCACAGAGGAATATCACAGGATGAATGAACAAGTTCACCTATGCAAACCTTTGGGCTGACAACAATGAAATGGAATTTGAGACCTGTTCTGAATTTTCTATGGGCTGCAATACTGCATATGCCTTTTTTTTTTTTCAATTGAAACTTTAACATTAGAGAATGCTGGTTTAGGTACTTAAAACACAAAATATTGTTTTAAAATATTAATAAAAATCTGCACTGGCTCTGCTGATGGAATGCCAAGTATTTTTTTTAGAAATTTTAAGTGCAAAACTGAGAGTAAAAAAATACTGCTAAGGTAAATCTGTGGGTTTTACCATTTAGCAGCTAAGCTCCTGCATGCTTAGAATTGGCCTGATTACCAGAGATATGCAGCCTGCAAGTAAAAGTCACAAAGAACTTCACGTGCCCTCCAAAATAAGGCTACAGTTACTTCAAACATACCAATTTAAATCATAAAATCTCAGCAGCATATGTAGTTCACCAAGAAGAATTTGTGGAGGTGCCTGAGGGATCTGCACACATTTAATGCTCAGAGCCCTCAGGTGGGTTCACTCAAGGCTGACAAGAGGAGATGATGGAGAAAAACATTGCCCTAGTCTTGTCTCTGACTTGTGAGAACAGATGTGCAGCACCTCAGGGTGGTAACAATTTAATTTTTCATTTTTCACCCTTTTTGTTACTGTTCAGGAATATATCTATCTATCTATCTCCTATGATCTCGAATTTACACAGCAAAACATTTTTGTACTGTGAAGAAAAAATTAGTTTTCCACTACCTTACTGGGTAGGCTAAAATATGCCAGATATATCACTGTAGAATCCCAGAGCAATCTAACGTGCTCAACCATGTATTGAAACATAGATTATTACTGCTTGGATTTAAAAATCAGACACACATTACCTACTGCTGCTCTGTACAACTAACCAATGGCCCTAATTCTGCAAACACTGCAGTGGGATTTTCACACATAATCAGGTTCTATACACTCACTCTATCAAAATCGAATTGAATTAACAGCCCATAAAAACCTGTGTATTTCTTGTGAGGAAGCCATGAAATACTAATCTCCTGGCAAAACCTACAGTTCTGTTAAAATATTTTTAATGTAACAAATTTTTATTACACAACGTATTTTAAAAAAAAAGTCACTGACACCTTAAGTAAGCATTTCTGTGGAAACGATTTCTCTGCACGTGGCTATCATAGAAGCACACCAAAGGATCAAGCAAAGGGTAAAGCTTCAGAACAACTTCTTGGTGGACAGTGACAATCATTTCTGCCATTCTCTGCCCCCAATTGTCTGGTCTTGGCCCTTTCCCAGTTTCTGCTCCTCAACAGAGCTGCTGGGCAAACATGGAGAAGTGGATCAGGAAACTGAGCTGGTTGAAAAGTGACCCAGCGGGCCAGCTCTTCTGCCTGGTCTGCTCCATGGCAGAGCACACTGCTGGGATAGCACAGTGCATTTGTCAGCTCTGGGGCATGAAAACAAGTCAGTTGCAACAACTGAACAAATAACAGTTACCCAGTGCCTATCTGTGGCCTTAGCTTTGTCCATTGGCCAGCGCAGATTGACATCAGTGGTGTAAGCTGACAGTACTAATGTTAAAATATAAATTAGATTTTGTGATCCTTTTATCCTTATAATCTGTTATATCAGTGCAACTTGTTAAAATGTATCAAGAGAAAGAATTTCATGGGATTTAGGGCTTATTTCTCGCCTTTAATTTTCATGTGGCCAGTGCTTCTTTAAAGACATCTGGGGTTAGATCACTCATGGCTGGATTTTGCAACCCACAGGAGGAATACTGCCTTCATATTGCATAGCCCACTGACGTCGGAGAAGTCAAATGTGGAACAAAACACTATGCAGTAGAAATGAGGGTAACAGAAAAAGGGGAATAAAAGGAATAAGACCTGCTTAGGCTGCAGTTTGATGCCCTGGCTAACCTGACATAAAGCAGCACTGCCACTGAAATTGAGCGTCCAACCCTTCCTGTCGATGGGAAAGGGGATTCCCTCTCTGCACCCTGCAGCCACACTGAGAAGCAGGCTGGGGAGCTGAGCTGAATATAAATGAACTGTCTGCCAGGGGAGCACAAGGCTGCCCCTTGCATAGCTACAACTCTCACTTAAGGTCCATGTGACAATACCGCCTCAGTTTTGGCCTAATTCTAGTGACGCTGCTGAAGGTGAAATGGGATTAAACACAGTTCAGTGTAACACAGGGTGAACAGCAAGGATCCGTGGTGCTTATTTAATGTGTTTACCTTCTGTGGTTTGACTAAAAGTGCAGCAATCTCAGAAGTAACCACACTAACTATAGTGGTAATATCATCTTTGAAGCGATCGGAGAACCGGCTTCTTCGTGGGTTGTCTTGCTTCTCTATGTTGTGAACATACTGAGCCATACTCTTTATCTACAAAGCAGAAAAAAAAAAAAAATTAAAAATGCCCAAACTGGAGGTAAAACTTTAAGTTAGTCCATGGGAGTAAGATTCCCTACTTGTTTTCCCCAGAATGTAATCACTCCCATCTTCTCAGAGCTGCTGTGATAAATCCTACACATACTGGCAATGGCAATAGAGAGCCTAAAACTCAGAGACAGACGCTGATTCCTGTTCATGTTCACACAGTTGGCTACTCTCAGCAGCTGAAATCAGAATCACCCTCCCCAGTCCCTTCCATCTGCAGCTCTGAAATGCTGCTGTTTGCAACTTTTGTCCTTCATGATGACAGCCAGGGAGTGACACTTCTGGAATTAATTCTTATTTCTTGACCCACTGTTGGGTTGCTTATATGCTGCCAGGGGAAATCAGTATGTTTTTTCCACTGACATTCATCACCTCAGGGCTCTGTGAAACTGTGAGTTTGGGAAGCCTTGTCACCGCTCCCATGTTGTTAACAAAGTGGAAAAGACAGGAACAGGTATTCACAGAAAATGAATGGCTCAGTTTGATATCTGTCTTTTAGCCTTCTGCAAGCTGTGGACTGCTGTGCGTGTAGTTCATGCAGAACTTTGCCATTACAGGCTGCCAGTGGCAAATAGGCTGAATATGGAGAATTCTTTAGTTGTACTTCCATTACATCCTTTTCACACTGGGTCTGAATAACTGAAGAGATCACCACCTAACTAAATCTGTGCAAACCTGCTCAATTTCACCATTAACTTAGTGGTAGTTTTTATCACTGTCAAATCTTACCAGGAGCTCAAAGAAGAACCAGGCATACTTGAAGACAGATTCTCTCACCATACCCGTGCTGACCACCATCTGCAGTGCCAGCTCCTCATGGAAATGCTAGATAATAAACACAGAGAATTGGGAAATGGTTTTTCAATCAATTCATCTTCCAGTTTCAACATCCCCCCTCTTCCCTGTGGGAAACTCCCCCATACTGGAGAGTCAGTGGCAGGATGGGGATGTGTGGACATCCCTGTAGGATGAGAAGGCGGATCTGACCAAAATGACATACAAAGAATGTTGGTGGCAAAAAGACTTTGGGGCCCACTTTTCTGTGGATCCAGAACCCTGGATATCTAAACTGGGAAATGTCTTTGGTCTATCCTCAGGCCATTGGCTGTGTGCATGACAGGGAGCAGTCATGTTCCC